CCAGCTGACTGAAGCGGGAAGATGAACAGACTGTAACCATGGCGACGACAGCAAACGCGAGGCATGAAGCTAGGTGGACAAGTAAACTAAAATTAGTCACAGTGGAGACGTCACGTAAAGAAAAAACAAGGAAACAAGATACTTCAGGTTGTAGACTACAGCCTGAAATATCTGGAAGACATTTAAAAATCCTTCAACGTGCATTTCTTAACCCGAGGACTGCTGCTAAAACTCTTTAAAGAGTCTGTGGCGCCCAATGCACGGAGGTTATAGTCCTCATTGCAGCGGGCGTGGGGTTAGAATCCCTCCTCGCCTCTTTGCTTTATACCTACCAACCTCTCCTTTTCTCTTCATCTGAAAACAGGGTCTCTGTGTTTCTGGCTCTCTTTTCTCGATGTGCTCTGTGTGTCATCACTGGTTTAGTTTATTGCTGCCATAATGCAGAAACAAAAAAACGTCTCAATAAATAAAACTCTAAAACCTTAATGCTTACGCTCCGTCTCCCAGAAATATAATTTTTACAACTTATGTGCAATCAGAAATGTTTTCCAGAAGTCGACCTGGCGCCCCTCTGACGAGAGGTTCAGTGTTATTCATAAATGAAGTGTTTTATCAAAGGTCCATTCCATGAACCTGATGATGAAGTGTAAAATCCTGCAGTTCCTCAAGTGTCCACTAGAGGCTGGCTGCAGAAGCACAGGAAGTCACATACACACCCATTCAAAAAAGCAGAGATTATGTTAAATGAGCTCCTGTCTCCATCATGTGTCCATCATGTCTCCAGCTCTCAGCCTGTCGTTAGGTTGACTGAAAGTTAGGCTGAGACATCATTTCCAGCATGGAGACCGCCATCGATGGGGCTCCAGCACCCCCTGCAGGAGCAGACGGGTGACGTCAGTCCGGCTTCATTCATATTTACAGTCTGTGGTTTTAATAAATCACAGACTTAATGAGTGATAACATACATTTTTACCAGCAGGACTTTTATCATTCAGCCATGATGGGTTCTTATTTAGTCTTATTTAGTTTGGTCTTTTTCAGTGTCTAGGTTTCTTGTCTTATTTGAGCCTGTCTATCGTAGTGTTGCTTGTGTCCTTTGTGTGTTCATGTTTCCTGTTAGGTCTTTAGTGTTTCCTGTTTTATTTTGTAATTTTTTGTGTGTATTATTGTTGTTACATTTTTGAGTGCTCTGTGTCTTTAGTGTTCTGTGTTTTATATTGTAGTTCTTGTCTCAGTGTTTCTTGTCTTGTGTTCTCTCTCTGCCTCTCTGTGTGTTTCCCTCGTTGTCCTCACCTGTGTCTGGTTATTCCTGTGTCTATTTAGTCTGTGTTTCTTCCTCTCTGTGTCTGATCATTAATACGTTTTCCCCACTTCAGATGTCAGTTTTTTTCCTCGTGTCTACCTGTGATTATTTTTAGTTGGACGTTTCAAGAAGTAAGCCTTGTTTTTTGACGATTTGTTTAATAAATATTTTTGTTAGTTTCAGCAATTGGGTCCACCTCTTTGTTTTTTCAACGAACCGCGACAGAATGATGCTTAAAAAGTTGCAGATAAGGCGGGACAAACAAAAAAAATTTTTGTTTAAGAATTCTTGGAAACCAACAGGAAAAGCAAATGCTGACGATGCAGCCTATCAGGTTCAAGCTGTGCCAGTAAATCACAGTCAATAATGAATGTCGATAAATCTCCCTTTACCTCCAGAAGAAAACACAACCTGACTCTACGTCTTCAGGAGCGGACCTGACACACACACACACACACACACACACACACACACACACACACACACACACACACACACACACACACACACACACACACACACACACAGCTCTGGTGACGGTCCCTGGGGTTGAAGCGGAGGTCAGCAGAGATGTGTGAGGTTGTTGTAACACCGATCACCTCTTGACCTCCAGCCTTATCTCCTCACCCTTTTATTTATCTCCCCCTCTTCTTCCCCCGTCCTCCTGTCATGTCATCTTTTAGCAGGAAACCATCACCGGGACAGAGGGGTGAGTTTTAATGGATCCCTCCGAGAGAGAGAACGAGAGAGAGAGAGCGCGGTGTGTAACCTGAGCCCTGTGAGCCTGAGCGTGGGGATTATTCAGATGAAGGATAAAGCTTCCTGCTAATTGTAACAGAAGCTGAGCTGACCAGCGCTAACCGCTCTAATGCTGGAGTCAACCCAAGGTCAGAGCCAGGAGATAGAGCTATCGATCCCCCCCCCCACACACACACACACACACACACACACACACACTGCAAAACACATGCACGCACGCACAGCGAGGTAGAAACTTCCAGTCCATCCCATCGCAGTGCTCCTTCACATCCAATCTCCGCACACCATTAGAGGTCTTTGCAGGGTCTGATCTCCATCACCCTGCTGAAGCTAAAAGTTATTTTACACTGAAAGAGAAGAGGAGGAGAGGAGGAGGAGATGAGGAGGAGGAGGAGGAAGAGTGAATGTGCGGATGGTGTATCTGCTCCTCTTTTATTGTGCATGAAAGCATCTGCACAGAAATGCAGGGTTGGCTCAGCCTCACTATATTTAACCTCATGTGCACAGACTGGAAACCTTCAGTGTTAATGGATGTTATTATAGACCAGCTGTTTGATTATATGTGTTACTTCCTCCCTTTTTGATCGCCCTCATTGTCCTCACCTGTGTTTCATTGCCGCCTGTATTAAGACCTCGTCCACACGTCGGCAGGTATTTTTCAAAGGTAGCTTGTTTCTGTGCGTTTTGACCTTTTGTACTCAGGTCAGAGTGTTAGGTCACAAACGTCGAACCTTTAGTGAAACTCCTTCCAGGGTGAAGATGTTCAGAAAGTCTGTTTAAGGTGTTTATGTGTAAACGTGGGAAAATCGTTTTTTTTAAATAACGTCACGTAGTCTGATGGTTCCAGCGATGATGTTGCCAGATTCTCCTGTAGTGTGACCTTACTATATGATCAGACTTTAAGGAAACATGCTATGTTGAAGTGCTGGCTTCTCTGACAACAATGCAGCAGTCAGTATGTCCTCCTTCTAACTTTAGATTCTGCTCCTGAATGCTCTGGATTTGTTTGGACCAGAGAAGGTAGGCGGTTTTAAGGCATCCCCACTTGGCCGTTTTGGACGCCCCTCGGTTTGCCAGATATGATTCCAGTTATCAGGTCAAACCAACAGGTGTTGCAGTGATGGAAGCGGGCAAGAGAACTGGTTCAGATAGAAGTGATTGTACCCGACCTAAAAAGCTTCTGCATGTTTCTAATAAGCTCCACGAGCAGAAACGTATTCAAACTAGGATCAATATTGGAGATGCTTTTGAAAAATGGAGAGAGGTTAGAACGCAGAAAGGTTTACAGACCGATGAAGCTGGATAATCACTGATGCCTCAGTGTCCACCACATGGCAACCTGAGTGAGCATTGGCTCTAGAGAGGAGGGGGCGGGGGAGATAGCTCTCCTGTGCAATTAGTGATAATTGTGAACATTTCCTGGTGTTAACATCCGTATTCGGTGGAATAGTAACCTGGCTGAGAATCTACAACACGCCATGAGGGACAGAAAAGCGTCACATCACAACGCTCTGAGCTGAACTTTATTGTCTGTCATGTTTTTTTTTGTCCTGTCAGACTTTGTTGAAGCCTCCATGATGTTTTGATTCAAATATCGGATGTCACAGTGACTTTAGTGAGAAAAAGTTACCAAAACTAAAAACAAAACTAAAAAAATATCTGACAAAAAAACAGAGTTATCCTCTAGGATACGAGAAATAGTTTGTAGCATTAGGAGGTATGTACACTTCCTGTTTCAGCATTCAGACAAAGACGCACTTCCTCTGTCAGTGTGTGTGTGTGCTGTTTGTTATGAAGTGTGTGAACACATCATTAACTCGCAGCGTACACCGACCTGCAGTCAGAGGTCACTGACACAAGTGACAGCGATGTCAAGTGGCTCGACAAGCAGCGAGCCCCATCTGGCCCCCGAGGGGGGGGGGGGGACGAACGTGACAATCTGGTGTCACATTTACATCACCTGGTGTGTGACACACACACACACACACACACACACACACACCTGTCTCCTCCAGATTTCAGAGATCCTCTGGCACAGTTTGCATCGTGCAGCTTGGAGATTTTGTGTTCAAACCGACACAGAAACAAAAATCCTTCTTTCTCTGAATCTCTGTCATGAGTCAAAGAGACAAGCCAAAGAGCTACCACTGCCGAGCCAATGGCACTATTGAGCCCCCGTCATAAGCTGGCTAACAGCACGCCACACAGCACAGATTTGGATGCATTTTTAATCTGGAATATTTGGAGCAGTTTGTGGGTCTGTAGGTTCACGCATGTCCTGCTCACAGTGTCAGAGAACCCCCGAAATCTGAAACCCCGCGTCTGTTTCAAACCTTTATGTTTCCTCGAGCAGTCTGAGTGACTCGCGTCTCCCTCTCGTGTGTTTGAGCTCCGAGTGTTTCCAAGTTTTCACCAGCAGGCTGTGAACAAAGCCACATGACAACAGTAACATCTGGCTGCAGCTCGAGAGATGATTACTCTGCTGCTCTGTGAGAACTCATCGCAAGGCCTCCCTACTGTGTACACACACACACACACACACACACACACACACATGCACAGATTGGCATAGCCAGATGGCAAAGTCTCTTAGACTGTCACCTAAACCTCAGTAGGATAGCTGTGGTTATGTTCGAGTATGCAAACAGCACAAAAGGATTCATTTCTTCATATTTGGCTCTCTGACTCGGATTAAAATGATACACAAACTTTATACTGCACACACACACACACACACACACACACACACACAACACACACACACACACACACACACACACACACACACACACAGGTTTTGAAGTGGACTACTTTCAACAGAATGTAGATTCTGACATAAATGCAGAACTTTATGTTTAGAGAAGAAAATAATGAATAAAGAGGGACTAAAGTAGACCCTCGGTGGTGGATTCAGTGACTCTGCGTAAAGTGTGCGTACCTGTACCAGTCCAGCCCTCGTGCGTAATGCCGGTCGAAGAAGTGCGGCTCGGACCCGAGGGCCCTAATGTCCGGGTGGAGCCGCAGAAACTCCAGCAAAGCCCTCGTGCCTCCTTTTTTAACCCCTATGATGAGAGCCTGTGGTAACCTGCGCGTGGCTGTCCACTCCTTCGCCGAGCTGTTCGCCTCCAGCCCGGGAGGACCGCTGAACGCGCGCTCTACGGGAGCCATGGTCACCTCCCTGCTTCCGTTTCTGTCGTCGGGCCATCCCGAACCGGACACGAGAAACTCGCGCGCGGGCTGCTTGATGTCAGGTGTCTCGGTGAACTCGGACTCGCAGCAGCCGGTGAGCAGGTAGACCAGAGAGAAGCAGAGCACGCTCAGAGAAGACGCGATCGTGAGCCGGTGGAAGAGCCGGCGCAGGTCCGCGCTCCCGGGGTGATGATGATGATGGTGGTGGTGGTGGTGATGAAGAACTGCCATCCCTCACAGATCCTCGTCAGGTGAGCTGCCATTCTTCCACAAGTTCCGCTCACATCCCTCCTTCATACTCCAACACAGCGCGAGCTCTCAGAGTGATCCTCAGCGCGCGCTGCTGTCCCCCTCCTCCTCATGGTGCGCGTGGAGCGCAGTGAGCCCCCCAAACCCGCCTGTCAATCAAACCCAGATAACCAGAGTGTTTGCGTGACATCCAGGTGTGAGCCCACTTTCTCTCCCAGCATGCACCGAGGGGAAAGAAAGGTCTAATATCAGAGCTCGCGCTGCTGCGGACCGGATCTCTCTCTCTCTCTCGCCACTCCACGGGATTAGCGCGCCTCCATCCCGGCTCAGCCCAGGGGGTGGTGCGTTTAGGGCTCTCTCTCTCTCTCTCTCTCTCTCTCTCTCCCTCAGGTTGGAGGGTGATGGCCTGAGGCGACTTTGAGTCCTGTTTTATTTATCGGTTTGAACCTGAACGTCTCATAGCCTATATGTAATTATCACATTTAATGTGATTGACTGATGGAGAGTCTGTCTCACATTGGTTCAGTTTATCTGCAGCCATGTGCCATACCATCAAATCTGACATGATGAGGCCACACTGACAGATCTCCAACATGCTGATGACTTCTGAAAGTTGAGCCACAAAGACAGAGCAACGTCTGCTTAAAGCAACTTTGCAAAAAATAAAGAAGGATCAGATTGAAAATGTGCATTTGATGCTAAATCAGAACAAAATATAAAAGAAGTCACATGTTGACTGCAGTTTCTCAAGTGTCCACTAGAGGCTGGCTGCAGAAGCACAGGAGGTCACATACACACCCATTCTAAAAAACCTGTTTTTACAGCAGAGATTAACATGTTTACAGCCTGGTTCAAAAAACCAAATAGGTCTGATTAGTTCATGTCTCGATCCACACACACTGTACGGGGGGTGAATGTTTTGATGACTTATCAGTTTTGATTTGATGAAGGATAAGAGTTATTCACAATAAGGCGTGTAGCTGACCTGATTGACCCGCCTCAGCTCCAGCTCTAAGCCTGTCGTTAGGTTGACTGAAAGTTAGACTGAGACAGCATTTCCAGCATGGAGACCGCCATCGATGGGACTCCAGCGCCCGATCAGATCGCCTCTGTTCTGAACAGTGATATAAACCCAATAAACGTGTCATGGTGTTACAGGTAACAGTTCATCAGCAGGTTATCTAGTTGTGGGTCAGTGGTGCCGGTTTATCACACTCTGCTCTCTTATAATTGGCTCAGTGGTCACACAGAATTAGACCGCACAGGTCAGCTGCCAGCAGACTGCTGGTCTGACCTCACAGGACTGTCTGTATGCGTCTGTGTGTGTGTGTGTGTGTGTGTCTGTGTGCGTGTGTGCGTGTGTGTGTGTGTGTGTGTGTGTGTGTGTGTGTGTGTGTGTGTGTGTGTGCGCGTGTGTGTGTGTGCGTGTGCCCATGATTACGCTGCACGTCATATACGGAAATACTAAATCTCTGAATATGTAAAATGTTTCATGTCAATGTTCACAAAAGAAGTAAAAAAGCTGAGCTCAATGTTTGGAGCGTGCAGACCCGTATGCAGATACAAAGTTCTCATGTGTTGCCCCCAGACTCCACATCAACCCTCAACCTTTGCTGAACTGCACGGCCCCTCCCCCCCTTCCTTTACTGTCTGCCTTCAGTTTTTCTGTCAGTTTAGGGCGAATATAGCCGTTTTCACATATGCACTCTGGATAATATTTAGATAATTACAGGAGGACTTCTCCGGAGATTCTCCTGACTTAGCCGTTCACATATGCTCCTCACAGTGGGGGACTTTCCCTGTCAGAGGGGAGGGTCGGGGGATTCCCTGAGGTAAGACGTGAAGTATATAAACAACGCGGAAGTAGCGGCCGTAGCAACAGAGTCCACTACACGACATTATAATGAGAATATTTGCCTTCATATCAATGCTATGTGTAATCCAATGGAATGACAACATCCACAAAAGAGAGGAGAACAACATACTGATGAACAGAAAACATAATGCAGGCGTTTAATTACGTGCACGCAGATCGTAGTGGTCGCGGGCAGACACTTTATGCACTCACGTATATAAACGTCATTCTCTTCCTATTGGCTCGAGTTGAAATCTCCAGAGTATATGCTGCCGCGTTCAGACATCAGCTCACATGGATTTCTGCGGAAAAAATACTAAGGAGTCTGGCAGGATAAACTCTGGGTGAAGTCCGCGCGAAAAATGCAGCTGTTTGCATTCACATATAGCCTAAAGCACCTCCGGGTAGCCAAATCTCTGGAGTTTTTCAGGAGATTTCTGAATGTGTGAAAAGGGGTTATGTCACCATGTGAAAAGTTTAAACTGTTTCTGGAGTTACACACTCGTTCCCTCCTCCCGACAGAGGAATTCTCTGTAGTGGACCATATAGTGCAACAATTCAGCAAATTAAAAATAAAACATTTCAGACACTACTCGCTCACTAACTGTCGCACAACTAAAACGTGCATCGTAACGCCGGCCGAGGGTCAATAATAACGTCACCACCCCCTCCCACTTGCTGCAGGTGAATTCTCCTGATTATATCCTGCTGCGTTCTCACATCAGCTCACTCTGACTTTCTGCAGAATAAATACGAGGAGGCTGCAGGAGAAACTCCGGGTGAAGAGAGAAACATTCAGCTGTTTGTGTTCACACATGACGCTCCTCTGGAGTTTTCTGTGAGTGTGAAAGCACTAATACAATAACTATACTTTAAAGGTATTTTATTTGGTATGGCAGAGGTTTTACTGCCCACGCAGACCTCTGAGATCAGCTGTCTCAGGCCTGCTCTCCATACCTGTGTTTGCTGTTTCTGTAGCTGTTATTGTGATTGTCTCGTTTAAACTGTTTCTGGAAAGTATTTCATGCTGCTGTCTTGAAAAATTCTCGACAAATAACATTTTATTATTATTATTGTTACAGGCTTATTTTTTATTCTGGCATTGGGCTGGTTTGGATTGGACATTGTGCTTTTGTCTCACAGACCTGGTACCCCGGCCTACCGCTCCGCTGTTAACAGTCAGTGTGAATCTTTGCTGTGGAAAATGTTAAAGAGGACATATTACGCCCCTTATCCACCTTTTCAAACAGTCCCCTGTGGTCTAAATGAAACATATGTGCTGTGCTTTGGTGAAGTTTGTGACCCTGTATAAACCAGCTATCTCAGAACTCTCCGTTTTGGTGTGTGTGTCTCTTTAAATGTAATGAGCCCCCCCTGAGTTTTCCCCATAGACATCACTCCTCTATAGCGAGAATAAAAATGGCGGACCTGCTCAAAAGTTTTGTTCTAGGTTGGGGGTGGAGTCCATGGGTGGAGATATCAGGGGAGGGGAGGGGATTTTTTTTTACCAGAATCCCACTGTGACATCACAAGGAGAGCAAATTAGAAATTGAGCATTTTTCTCTGTGTTGTAAGACTTATGCAGACCACAAACAAAGGACTGGATGGGTTTATTTCACATTTTGTGGATCAGTAGACACTCAGGTTACCCAAATATATGTTCAGAAACACTGTACATGTGGATTTTTCATAATATGTATTTTTCTTCAGTGTGACGTTCATCTCCTCATCTGACACCGACCTGATCACTCCACCAACACACATTTAAAACAACTTGATACAAATCATAACGAATCTGCTTCACGATGATATCTTTTGATTTGGCAGATCATGTAGAGACTTCAGGATGAATTTAGAGTCTGTTTCATAACCTGATAATAAAAACTTTAAAGAAGGATACGACAAAATTTGCAGGACACTTCAGAGGGCGTTAAGTCACAGGAAGTTATTTTGGATTCAATCTTTTTAAAATAAAAAATCAATCTTTCTGTGATTGGTTCTGAGCGATGTGTGAAGAGGTGCTGTGTGTGTTTCTGCTGTTCGGGAGCTCTGCTATGTTGGCTTTTATTATTGCAGAGTGCCGAGCTGAGGTACGGATAATGGCTCATAGGAGACTCATTAGTACCCCCCCGACCACACACTCACACTCACACACACACACAAACACACACAGACACACACACACTTTACGTTCCATTTGGCTTACCCCGTCATTATCCCGCAGCAGATGTGACCCGAGCCATAAAACCGCTGCATTGTCCTGCAGAGAGGCTAAACTGAGCCGTTATCCTTTTTTGACATCAACATCAAACTTTGAGTTATTTCATCGTCTGTTCCAACCTGAGACAGGAAATGATGTCATGATGATAATAACTTTATCATCAGAGTCCTTTAAAAAGATGGTTTAATGAAGACAAAGACAGGAAGCAGAAAAACTCAGAAGGCAAAATAACAAAACAATAAGATCCAATGAGAATGTAACCATACGGGACTCAGGTTTGGTGCTTTGCTAAAGAGCGCCTCAGCAGGGCTCAGGAAGTGACCCGGCACCTTTCCAGATACCAGACCACATTTCAAACCTGGTCTGGGACTTGAACCAGCGACCCTCCAGTTCCCAACACGAGTCCCAACAGACTGAGCTGCTGCCCCCCAAACAGACGCACGATGTGATCAAATCACGATTTCATGATATTTTGACATGAATACGTATAATTATTTTAAGAAACAACTCAATGACGCTGTAGAAAGACATTTTATTTAAAACTATGGTCTCTGATGATATTTTAATGTATTAACATTTAGCTGAACGATTCCAAAATATCCGTCAAACACGAAAAGGTGGAGTCGATAGAGTTTATATTTTCTGTTTATTTCATTTCAACCCTCTTTTTGATTCTCGATCATTAAAATAAATAATGTATCGTTTATATCGAGTATTTTAAAAGTCCTTCCTCTGTGTGTGTTAAACTAACCCTGAAATTAAATGTTGATTAAACACTCATCAACACTCACAGACCTCGTTCATGATTCCTTTATTCACCGTAACGTGATGATTATCAGAAACCGTAACGAGCGTGTTTTCATCGTTACCTCAATAAACGTTTATTTTATTTCAAACCTTTCTCCGCGGTTCATCGCTCGAGGTTGTCAGGTGAGCTGCAGGCTTTTGTCTGCGCTCTCCGTCAGATTGTTTCGTGATGAAGCGGTCCATAAAAGCGTGACCTCGAGGTCAGGGCCGAGGGCGTGCGGCGGGTCGTTATCTGACCCGGTCGGAGCGGCCTGATTGATGCACCTCTGTGTGTGAAATAAACCTGTGTGTATAA